GCCTGTCTAAAGCCTGAGGCAATGGGGCTGGCCTGGTGCTAGGGTGAACAGGTGGCCTGGATCCACAGGAGACTGCCTGGACCTTGGCCAACGGTAGCAGCGTGGCACAGGGGCAGGCCAGGACCCTCCTTCCATGGGAACTTATTTGGGGTCTAGGTCTGTGAAGGCTGGCCTGGGTGCTAGGGCAGGCTGGTAGCCTGGGTCCATGAGAGTGAGCCTGATACTAGGGAGGGCCAGGAGTCTGGATTTGCAGGAAGTTGCCTGGAGCCTGGGTTTGTGGGGGGTCTTCCCAGTGCTGGAGTGGACAGGTAGCCTGGGTTTGTTGGAGCCCACCAGAAATCTGGGGCATGGTAACTTGGCCTGGTGCCAGAGTAGGCCAAGAGTCTCAGGCCACAGAAGTCAGTCTGGTGCTGGTGTGGGCTGGTGGTGGAGTCTGCTGTGAAGTCAGTTCCTTACTTCACTCTTCTCCTGTGAACTGGATGTCTCTCTCCATGCTGGGATACTCTGGCTTGGGGGATGGGTGATAGGAGTAATATGAAATTATATTTCCTACCCTTTTTTCAATGTATCTTTTCTTATTTCTGTGCTCCACCCAGATGCTGTCATCCCTCACCTGAAATTCTTAACTCTTGTGAAGGTATTTTTGTGTATGGATAATTGTTCAAATTGATGTTTCTGGGAGGCAAAGAGTGCTAGAAATTCCTATACCATCAGCTTGCTTTACTCTCTAATTCTCTCCTCTGCTGTGTGTTGTCTGTTGCCAAATACAAATTTTGGTTTATTTTAATTTTATTTGTTGTATTATATTGTTCTAGAGATGCTGTTTAATGCTTCCAAATCTGCCACTTTTCATAGTTTGCTACTCTAGGAAAACATCCATGTTTGTCATTTGCTTCTTAAATATGGTTAGGATAGTTGTTTTAAGCTCTGTGTATAATAATTATAAAACCAGATGTCTCTGTATGTTTCTACTATCTTGCTTTGTCTATTTTTTTGGTTCTTGTTCTTGTGATCTTGTTTACTTATATGCCTGGTGATCTTCAACTCTTTGTGGCTTGTTGCCTTTGTAAAATTATTTAAGTGGCTCTGCCCTCCTCTAGATGGGTTTTCTCTTTTTGTTTCTGGTGGAAAGCATTTGGCCTACATTAAACCAAATGCAGTTTGAGAGTTCCTGGCTCAATCAAACTGTGAGCACTCAAAGTGAAAATCCTCAGGAAGGCATGTTCATGGCCACAGCCTTCCAGGAATTACTTCTTTTCTTTATATCTTTCCTTCACCCACTTTGTTCAGTTCCAAGACCATCTACTTCACGGGTTCCAGAGATTGGGTGAATCTAGATCTGGTTTGCTTGCCTAGTCCTAGGCAGCCCCTGAGTCCTGATCTCTCTCTCTCTCTCTCTCTCTCTCTCTCTCTCTCTCTCTCGCTGGTGTGACTAGAGTATGGCATGGGTGCATGCTATAGCAGCACAGAACATATCGTGGCTTTAAGGCTCCTTTATTTCAGATCCTGATTCTATATGTCTGGGATAAAGCCTGAGATTCTGCATTTCTGACAAGCTGCCAGATGATGCCAATGCTGCTCGTCCACAGATCATACTTTGAACATCAAGGATGTATAGAACAAGGACTCTTTCATTTAGTAACTTGGCAATATGTGAACAATAGTCAAATTGAGTGATGGGAATTGTGCTATATAAGTTGGGAGAGATTTATGGAACCGAGGGGACTATGTTAGACCATGACCTGACTAGTGAAGGATAGATATGGATGGACAAGGGAATGAAATCCTAATTCAGATCCAGTTCGGGCTACTTGAAGAGAGAAGAAAGGCTATATCTCTAGATTTTATTCATATGGAGCTCTTTTTTTTACAGGGAAAGAGGTTTCCTTCACATATTTTGACCCAGGGGCCCTTCTCAGGATCACCCACCACCTCGGTGGTAAAGGATGCACCTCCATTCTAGGGAGACATAAGTTGAGGTCTTGTGTTATCTGGTGTCACCAAAGCCCCCATCACCTCAGCTAATGGCACTGTGGACTAAGTGCCTAGGCTACACGGAGCTCCATGTATTTATAGGATTAAATAATGAATCTGAAAGGCTCCACATCTTATTAGCTGTGGTCCTGAATGAATTTGCATTAGTATATGCAGCATCCATATCAATGTGTCCTGAATGTTTGCTTCTTTGTACCTTATGGCAGGACATTGAGATCCTCTCCTCAAGATTTCCAAGTGGGTCCAGTCCTATATAAGGAGCATGGGGGTGATGTCATAGGCTCTGGACTTTCTTCTTTGAGCATGGAAATCAACTCATGCTAATGGATACCTGGGGAAACTCCTCTTCATAGCCACAGATTGATTTTGAATCCTAGTTTTGACTCAGACATACCTACTTCACATTTGAGTATGAGTGCTTCATGATTCCACACTCTTGAGGGAATGGCCATGGAGCTACTCAGGACAAGATCATAACGACCTTTATATCCCACTGTGCAGTGAGAATCCCTTGGAAGACTATATAGTGTGAACTTGAGAGTGTCTTTATGTGTTAGGTAGGCTGATAAGGTAGCACAAATGTCAAGAGCTAGGATGATCTACTGGTAGTCAAAGCAAAAAAGCTGGTAGAGACAAATAGGCTGATCTGGGGTCTAGCGACAGACATAGGAGACTCAATAGGCCAGTTGCTACAGGAAGGTGTCATGTACTGGGGACTTTGCATACTCTTCTTTAACCAACACAATAATCCAGCAAGGTACAATGCATTCATATAACAGTCATCTTGGGATCAGAAATGTGAAAGGATTGTGCCAAGGACACAAGTCCAAAAGTTGCAAAGCCTAATTGTGAACATACATCTTTTGAATACGAGTCTCTGGCTCTTGAATACTAAACTACTGTCTTAGTCTGTTTTCTCCCTGAGAAACCCTAGCATTGTTTCAGAAGCTAGGGAGGCTAAGATATTAACCCACCAGTCCCTTCCCCCATTGGTTGAGTTTGCTATTGAAATAAATACCCTTGAGGTGTGAAGCAGACAGGTGCTAGAAACTGCCACAGTGATGGTGAACTCAGTTGGGCTGAAGGGATTGGGGCAGGGTATCTACAGCATTGTCTAAGCTTTCCTTCAGGGAAAACCTAATGTGTGTTCCTAACGTGTGTTTGCTAGATTAGAGCACTGGAGCATCTGGGAGGCATACTCCCTGCTCCACTAATCTAGGTCAGTGACCTGTAGTCCATGATGGGCAGGGTGCCCAGGAGCTGGCCTTGCCCAGGGGAGGCTCCCTTGAGTGGAGAAGCAGCATGCATACAGGCTCTGAAAAGCTAGAGAAGCATACACTGGGGTGTTTTTACCTGGTCTGAGATTGGTAGAGAATATGGTGATTGTGAACCAGGAGTAGTTGCAAGCTACACAGGTCTTAGGGGAGCCATTCCTTCCTTAGTCTACTTCCTACCTTGAACCTACTGGGGGCTTCCACTCCTAGGAATAACATTCCAGTGTGTCATTTTGTGGCAAAAGAATCCAGTCATCAGCCCTGGGGCAGTCCCATAATGTTTCTTCCCTCAAACTCAGTGTTGATGACTATATTTCCTGGTTGTTGCTCTTAAGAGCTTACTTAGCATGCCCTACTTTTTCAGGGTGAATGGGCAAGTCACAGTCATACTTAGTTGACATTTACATAAAGACTCACTGAATCTCTGCACCAGGAACCAGAAAAGATTCAGCGTCAGGCAGTCCCAACCCAAGTGAGGTAGAACCTCCTTCCTTCCCTGTGTGTATAAAAAGCTTGGAACCTGTTGGATTCAGTCAGAGCACCTAAGTCTGGACGAAGCCATAGTCCATAATAACAGATTACAGGTGTAGTCTGAAGCCATGAAACCTGCTGATCTTTGATCTTCTCTTGCTTCTGGGGAGTCCTAGACAGCTTTCCAGAGCCCTTGGATGCAGCTAGAACCTTTACTTTGGATCCAGGGGAAAAAGCATCTCTTGGACAAAGGTAATTTGAGCTCAGAAGCCATGTGTCTAAGCTTTCCTTTGGGGAAGACCTAATGTGCATCTACTAGCTCAGAGTACTGGAGCATCTGGTAGGTAGACTCCCCTCCCCACCAATCTAGGGCAGTGATCTAGAGTCCATGATGGACTTCTTTCACTGCTGTCCTTGGGGAGCCTTGGGGGACCTTGGTGGAAGGCACAGGATACTGGAGGAGCTAGGGCTACTTCCAAGAGTACAGGTGATGATTTGCTTACTTCCTGTCCATGGATAACTGTTGAATCGGGCACTGAGGATCCTGAGGCAGGGAGGGATATGAACAACTGGCTCTCACTGTGGGGGAGCTTGTGACCTTCTTAGGGAACTGTCCTGGTGCCCTAACCAGAAGCCCAGGAACAGATGACTCCTGACAATCAAAATACCTAATGGAACTTGTGGATGTCCGTGTGCAAGATCCTTAGGGATGCCTCTTTGGATGAAGAATGGGGGAAGATGGGGGTCAGAGAGGCCGATTTTCTGACAGTTATTTAGTAGCCAGGATAAGTGACTTGAAGACAGGATAAGTGGTGACTCACTAGATATGTGGGAGGCTAGAATGGAGATAGATGCACACTCTCCTCTCCCTTCCTTTAAATCCAGAGACTTGGTGCACTGAACAGTGCCTGAGGTGGTGCTCTGGAACCTCCTAACAATCACAGATGTGATGGATGGAGGGCATCCCAAGGCCACTGTAGTCTGAAGAACCAGGACTACCAGTCATGATAGAGATGGGAGTTTCCATTTGGGGTTTTCTGGCCTTGGAAAACCCCCTCCTTAGTCTCAGATGTGCATCTGGGACAGGAGCTTGGAGGCAGCTTTCTTAGAAGAATTTTTACACAAAATTCTGGGGTTGGGAAGGGGAGAGAACAGGATGACATGTTTTCTTCTTCCCTTTTCCACAAGACCTGCTGCTGACAACCTCCTCTCCATCGTCTGATTTACCTTGTCTTCTTCACAGGAAGCTCTGAAGCCAACATGGCCACCCCCCAAGGTGAGTGGTGAATCACAAACCAGCTTGGAAATATCTCCATCCTGCCTCACCAAAGATAATACAGTACAAGGGCCCCTATCATTTACTTAGCTACAGATGCATTTGCTCTTGCTAATATACTCAGATCATAAAACGTGCATTTGAAAATCTCAGAGCATTTAGATCTTTTCTTATTATGTATATTTGGAATTTATTTACTTTGTTAAACAGCATAAAGAAAAAAAACAAGAAACTGATGACAAATTTAAATATTTTTGGCTTTGTTACTACCCAGAGAGTATACATTAGAAACAGACAAGTCACTGATATCCCTAGAAAAAAGACAAACCTTGAAAATCTCTTGGGGAGTATAAATGCAGGTAGATTCTTACAGATTCTTTGATCCACAAACCAGCTCCTGGCTTATTTCCCCTCCCTTTCTCCTTATAGCCACTCTTTCTCTGAGCAGTGAGCCTACCCCTAAGGATTCAGAAGTCATTATGACCAGGATGCAGCTAGAGTCCTGAAGTTTATAATAACCTTATATGTGTTTTGTGCTTTTCTGTCTTCTGGCAGCGGTAGACTATTCCAGAATCTTTGGTGTTCATGATTCTCTACAGATGGTGTGGGTCCTGAATGGAAATTCTTTAATAACAACTCCTTTTAACAACAATGTCAGTCCTGGTGAGTGACAATCAAAGCCACTTTTTCTTCTTAAAGGGGCACCAGTTCCACTGGAGATGGGGCTGAGCTTGCATGAGCTTACATGCCTTCGGCCTGTCCTGCTTCTGGGACCAATGTCCACAGGAAGGGCAAGCAAGGACAAGATGGTTCCCTTCCACAGAGGAAACTCTGCACCTAGAAATGAGGGGATGAGGGGTTGGCAGCCCTTCTTACCAAGAGAAAATGTCTTCAGATAAGGAGGGATTGTCCACTCAAACAGTATTTGACCTTCTTATTGGAGTTTTTCTCCTTTAAATTTCAACCATTGCTACCTATGTCCTCAGAATCAAACTTGATCATCTTTCCACTATACACTTTCCTAATTCGGTGTCCTCTCTTCTAATATTGGGGATATTCCTTCCTCCCATCAAAAGTCAATCTATCTCAGCTTCTTTCCCTCTTCTAGGACTTCAATGTTTGATTTAATTCTTCTCTTCCCTGTATATTCCACCTTTGTCTATCTACTGGATCCTTTCCATCACTGGTATATGTGCTCTAATATAATATTGCTAAGTTTAATAGAAATTCCACCTTCTCTTGATCCCCACATTCCATTCCTACTTCCACTCTTTTTTTCCCATATGCTAGTCTCAATACAGTTCTATGTACCAGTCATAGCCAAACTTCATGGAAGAGCTGGCTACATAACTTGTCTCTACTTCACCTTCTGCTCATGTTTGCATCAAACAACATGACTTCTGAACTGTTCTCTCAAGTTCCTCTTCCCAAGGTCACCAGATACACTCTCTGTCCTCACATTATTTGGTTCCTCAGCTGCAGTCAGCATAATTGGTAATTCTTTCTTTCTTGAACACCCTCCATCTTCTCCTTCTGTAGGAACATTCCCTTGTGATTCACTGGCTTCTCTTTGGCATTCTCCTTTCTGACTCGACTTTTTCTGTACAATCTACAAATACTGGAGGTCCTCAGATCTCAGTCTGCAATCATTGTGCAACCCCACTGAAGGGATTGGGAGCTGGTCTCTTGGATTTATGGATCCAATGCCTCTATCACTCTGGCATTTATGCTTCCAACCAGAAGACCCTCTGAAAAATTTACCCATGTCCTCTTGATATCCTCTCAGACATCTCTAACTTCATCTATCCCAAGCAGAACTATGGACCTGACCTCTCAAAACTGCTGATCAGCCCAGCCTTCCCTATCTCCATTAGTGGCACTACCATTACCTGTTTCCTCCAGCGAGAAATGCAAGAGACATCTGTGATTCAATCTCTGTCCAGTCCAACAGCAAAGACTGATGAGTCTGTGTGCAAAATATGACTTATTTCTAAGATAATATCATGTCTCACCTGGACCACTGCCACTGTCTCCTCACTGCCCTCCTTCCCACCTCATTTGTGTAGCCTCTCATCCACTCTCTACAAAGCATTAAGAGTGGCCATTTGGACTATGTTAATTGAACAGTGTCTTTCCTATGTGTTTGTGTTTTAGGGGTGGGAAGTGGGGGCTAGTGGGGACACCTCAGGGACACCAGTCTTCTTTCAGAGCTACACAGGGGCCTTTACCCATCCTTTCTCCATAACACTCTCCCTCCAGACCCCCTCCATCATCCTATTCCCATGTCTTCATATATTAGTTTCCTCTTAACTTTCAGATCTTGGTTTGCATTTTACCTCTACAGAGAGGTCTTTCTTGACTCTTCTATGTAAATTTGGTCTCCTACTGTCTCAGGCTTTGGTTCTTCCCTCAAAGCAGATCTTGCAATTTATTGTGGTTCTGTCATTTCTCTGCTTACATCTTTTGGTCTCATCTTCCATAGGGGGAACGACAATGTCTCTCTTATCCTCATCTAAATCTCTGTGTGCTCACATGCATCCTTGTCCCGAGTCGGCATTCAATAAAGAGTGTTGACTGGAGAATTCTCAGCCCCCTGCCCAGAAGGATAGAAGCAGAACACCCAGGCTCCTGGGCTAAATTAGTTGGGAATTAAATTTAGCTGATAGTGACAGGAAACCCACATAACTGGGACTTAACTAAGAAGTTTACTTTAAAAAAAAAAAAAAAAGTTTATTTCTTTCTCATGAAAAAGAAGCCCGAGCAGGCAGGCTGAGGTTGGTATGGTGGCACCGTGATGCTCCCATGGTCCAAGTATTCTAGCTTTCTGCTTTACCAAGCTCAAGTTCTCCTCAACCATCATCCACATATTTGAGGCAGGCAGTAAGAAGACACAATGTGTAAGAAAGGAGCTTCTCCCAGATGAGTCAACTCCTTTTAAAGAACATTCTTAGAAGCCCCACACAACACTTCCATGTTTATCTAGTGGACTACAAGTTCAGCATATGATAAAATTTAGCTGCAAATGTGGTGGGGAATTTTATTTTTATTTTGGGGATGCAGTGTGCCCTGGTAACATCTGGGGTTCTGATATTAAGTAAGTGAAAGAAATGGGCTTCAGATAATGATGTAGGGTCTCAGCTACGTGATGAATAGGAAGAGGCTTCTGGGGGAGTCCTGGCTGCTCAGTGTCCCCCTCACTGGGAGGAGTAATGTCAGGTCAGAAGGACTGTCCTTTCTGCTCCTGGAGCCTGACACCTGTTTCCATTTTTCCTTGTGTTTCCAGTCAGTCTTGATTTAATGACATGTATGGACAAAGAATTCCATGATGCAGGAAAAGGCAATCCAGTTTACTTGGGAATCAAGAACAACCATCTTTGTCTTTTCTGTGCAGAAATTCAGGGCCAGCCAACTTTACAGCTTAAGGTGAGTGGTTGTACAGCTAATGAGAGAAGCCCTGTGAGATGTACTTTTTATTTCATTTAACATATCACTGAACAAAAATAACATTTTTTCAATCCTGGATTGTTCAATTCTTGGCTGTCCCCCAAGTCAATAAATGCTGCTTTTGGCGTGTGTGTAACACTCATTTTAATGTGAAAACATTCTCCAAAAACCAGAGAATACACCCACGAGAATGCTTCAGAAAGGCCAAAGAATGGTGGTTTCTCCATTCTCAGTTTTCTTTAACTACCTCCCAGAAATCCCCCACAATGCTGGGCTGCTCGCACTTAAACAAAGGCCACTGTATGACAGAAGAGACAAGGGGGGAGATTGTTAGTCTGGGTTTTGTGGATTATATGCCTATGGTTCCTGTCCTGAAGGTAGCATTTATAGTTATGAAGCAAATCTTTTTGGTTATGATGAAAGCTTTAAGATCTAAACCCATTCGGAGGCTGGGAATCTTGTGAGACGCCCACACCTGTGGGTGGGTGCCCACCAAGAGCACCCACAAAAGAGACTTAAACCTCTCTCTGTTCTCAGGGAAGACAGTGCTGTCTCAGAGAATCAGAAGCACCTTGTATCATGGGATCCTGGGGTAGAGCCAAGCTATTAGGAGCCAGTGGGTTGCCTCTTCTGACACCTTGTGTCCTTTCATCTGGTTGTGTCCCTGGCCCCTGGCCCTCCCTTTGGGGAAAGCGGTCACTCTCAAGGGCTATGTTAGTTTAGACCCTTTCTCTCAGTAATCCTCTCTAATAAACCTTTTTCCTAATCCTAGGAGAAAAATATCATGGATGTACACAACAAGAAGAAAGCACAGAAGCCTTTTCTCTTTTTCCATAATAAGGAGGGCTCCACCTCCACTTTTCAGTCCGTCTCCTACCCTGACTGGTTCATAGCGACTTCCAAAATAGCAGGACAGCCTGTCATTCTCACCAAGGAGAGGGGCAAAGATTACATCACTAACTTCTATCTAGAGCCTCAGGACTAAATTCAGCCTGGGCTGTGGGTAACTGATTCCAGGAAAGAGGATCAAGCAATCAGAGAATCTTCCATTCGGAGACATAGTAGGTCATCTTCATAGACTAACATGCACTGATGCCCATCCGTAGCCCCACCTCATTCTCGTCACCCAAAACTACCTTTTCCTCTAGACAGCCATTTGTGCACCATGTTTCCTCATATGAACATCACCCCAGTATGAAACCTGAATCACTTTTTATTCTTTCCTGATCTTGTCCCACTATCCACTTAGTTGCCAAGTCCAGTTAAGTCAACATCCCAAATGCTTCTTACGCACACCCCTCTCTATACCTATTCCTTCTGACAACCTATGGCCTAGAGATGTGAGTTCCAAACATTTTTGTTCATACAACCCTATCAATAAAAGAGTATTATTTGTTAATTCTCTGCATGTATTATGATATGTATTCCCAAAGATGAATCTAAAGTTTCTAGTTAAGTAATCTTTATTCCCCATGTGGGACTCGAACTCATGACCCTGAGATCAAGAGTCACGTACTCTTCAAACTGAGCCAGCCAGGCCCCCCACCAAAGAGGAATCTAAGGATAAATGTTAAATACAAATGAATGGGAAGCTGTGAGCTGTACATTTATGATGTAGCCACTTTTCTGTGTGTACATATGTATGCTTCCATTAAAAGTTCGCTTTTAAAAAGAAAACAGATAAAGGTGAAATAAAAAATTTAAATGTCTTGATCATCATAACAGATTCATAATGTCATTAGTTAATAATTTGACATGTAATACATACTTTGATTAAGATTAATTATTTACCGTAGTGAATTTAAATCAACCAGTATTTCAAAGAATCACTTAACAAGGGTGCCTGGGTGGCTCAGTTAAGTGTCTGACTCTTGGTTTTGGTCATGATCTTACGGTTCACGAGTTCGAGCCCCGTGTCGGGCTATGCTCTAGCAGTGCAGAGCCTGCTTGGGATTCTGTCTCCCTCTCTCTCTGCGTCTCCCCTGCTTGCTCTCTGTCTTTCTCTCAAAGACAAACAAACAAACAAACAAACAAAAACCAAAAAACAAACTGCCCATGGTTCTGAGCTAATCCTTGAATCCCCTCTTACATCCTGGTGGCATGCCTCTTACTCCAGTCAATGCTGTGCAACCAGCTCGGAGAAGGTATAAATAACCTGACAGCATGTTATCTCAGCTACACCAAGCATCTGTCTCTCTCTGCTCGGAGGCTCCTAGGACACCATGGGGAAAGACTTGTAGGAACCCACTTGGCACTCACACATGTACACGCTCAGAAGTAAGAGGGAGCAGCCCCACGAGGAACCCTTGACCGTCGTGGGGAGGTTGTGGGAGTAGATGGGAACATGCTACTCGCTGTGACCATTCAAGTGTACAATTCTGAGATGCATTCTACCTGCACAGTACCTCGGAGGGTCCCAGTAGGATTGAGTCATTGTCACCCATGGCAGTGCTGAGCTCAAGAACATAGCCTTGCATTGGCTTGCCTCATTTCCCTGCTTCAGTTTCTTCAGGCCCCAATCCTGTTCCCTGGGGTCACTTCTCATTATCGGAATGCAAGCCCTTGTCTCAGGTGCTGCTTTCTGGTGTAAACCCAGGGTAAGGCAGATTCAGTCAAGGCGAGCTTCTTTCGTCTACCAGCTACTCCCAACGCATTGGATTTCTTCCCTCCATGCCTCTGCGCGTGCTTTTGCAAACATCTTAAACACTGTCATCTCTGTGTATCTTATCCGCCCCTTATGTCTTCCTAACATCCTACGTCTGTCTAAAGTGTTCAGAAGCCACTCCTCATTCTCCCAACGAAATACAACATCTCTTTTCTGAGGTCTATAGCACTTTACCTTATCCTGAGACATTTCTTTTGTTAGACTCATGCTGGAGTTTTTTTCCTTGTCTTGGCCTCTTTTCTCTCTTTTCAGCCAAATTCTAGGTACATTAGAAGGCAGAGATTGTATCTTTGAGAACCCTATACTCCTTGGGTGCCAGATCTTGCCTCCTACATGGCAGTTGTTGAAACAAATGAATTCTCACTGCATGTACTAACGTCTTCCATTGATACTCAAGTGTGTCAGAGTGGAGTTTGCTCGATCAAGGCAGAAACAGCCCTAACTGCAATAAGGGCACGAGGAACATCAAAGCTCCTCAGAGAAGGTGGGGAAGGACAGCACAGAAAGGCTGACTAGGAGCCTCCCTGTCTCAACTTTTCCTCCTCTTGTGCCAGTCTGACCTTGGGGGACTGTAATGATGTCAGGATATCCTCTCAGGAGAGGGTGGATATAGAAACAAAGCACAGCCCAGAGCTTCCCAGAGAGACTCCAGCCAATGCCCACTGGCATCTTCTTCTTGGATTTTGTCCAAACCCTCACCAATGTACATTCATGCACTCATAAACCATTTGGGGGCACAGGAAAAGGACACCAGGGGAATCCAGTGTTTTGGTTTTTTTCTCTGACAAGGTCAGGGCGCAGTACCAGATGACCCCAGGGATGACTATGAGAGACTTGTGGCAGCAATCAAATGGACATATAGTAAGCAAGTTTTCTGAGAAGGGTAATGCGAGGAATGTGAGTTCTGTAGGTAGCTGAATGTGTAGAAAGAATAGTAGATAGTGATGAAACAAAAACAATGTAACCCTAGGCTGTGCTTATAAATATTAGCTTCTCAGAAATCCCAAGAGCACTGGACATGAGCAGGGGGTAGATGGCCAGCCCGCCTACACTCTTCTCTCTGAAAGAGGAGGTGAGGAAGTGGTGGTGGTGAAGGAGGAGGAGGAGGAGGAGGAGGGGGAGGGGGAGAAGAAGAAGGAGGAGGAGGGGGAGGAGGAGGAGGAGGAGGAAGAGGAGGGGGAGGAGGAGGAGGAGGAGGAACCATAGAAGGAGCCAAGAGGTATTCTCAGATATTTTACTGGCTCTCTTAGTTCCAGGGAGGTTTTAGTCTATTTGGGCTACTGTAACAAAATTCCATACACTAGGAGGCTTAACAAACATGATGTCTCGCAGCTCTGGAGGCTGGAAGTCTGATATGAGGGTGCCAGCACAGTCAGGTGAGGGCCCTTGGCAGGTTGCAGACTTCTCATTGTGTCCTCACATGGTAGAAGGGGAGAGGAAGGTCTCCTAGGCCTCTCTTAAATGGCTATTGGTCTCATTCATGAGGGCGCTGCCCTCATGATCTAATCACCTCCCAAAGGCCCCACCTCTTAATCTGATCACACTGGGCATTAGGATTACACCATAGGAATTTTGAAGGACTCAGACATGCCTATTCCCACACCCATCTTCTCCTTCTCAGTTACTCAAGACAGAAACCTAGGAGCCGTCCTTGATTCCTCCTTTCCTTGGAACCCTACCTCTAATTCATGAAGTCTGTCTCCAAAGAAGGCTACCTTCAAAAGACATCTCCAGTACACCCGTCTCTCTTCAACTTCTCTGCCACTCACCACTCCATACCAAGTAGCAGTGATAGCTCACTGGTGCTATAAATCAGACTCCTGACTCGTGAGTTCCGCCTGCTCCTCCCTCTGCCCATTCAGTCTGGTCTCCACAAGCTGGACAGGGTTATCTCCATAAATGGAAATCTAAGCTATGTAGTTTCAATGTTTACCCCTTCAATGCTTCCATTTGCACTTATAAGGAAATGCAAATTCCCTACCGTATTTTCAGGGTTGCCTGGATGGCCTGACCCCCGTGTCCAACCCCTCTTCCAGGTAATTCTCTTTCCATCTCTATTCTCAGTCATGCCAATCTTTCAGTTCCTTGAACCTGCCAAATTCTTTACAGCCTCAGGACCTTTGCATATGATGTGCTCGTGCACATCCCTATACCTGTATCGTTTTACTCTGATTCTCTGCCTTTCTGGCTCCTTCAAGTCACTTCTTTATATGTCACCTTCTCAGAGAAGCCTTCCTTGACCACCATGTCTGAAGTAAGCCCCTTCTTCTACCTCCTGAATTTTCTATCTCTCGTTTTTGACTGTTTATCCTTCACACAATTTCTTTATCTTTCTTTATCTCTACTTCCTCCTTATGTACATTACAGTCCTTGATTGCAGGGAAGTAACGTTTGTCTAGTTTACCACTATATCCCCAGTCCCTAGCACACTTGTTTGTGTTTAATAAATATATGTTGAATAAATACATTGCTAATACATTAATTAGTGAATGAATGATTGAGGACCTGCCTTCCTTCCCAGGCAGCCTGCCCTCCTTCGTGAGATTGGCCTCACTTAGAATAAAACCTACCTTCCTGTTCCTACATCATAGAATGTCATGGAAAAAGGAGCTCCCATGTCCACAGAGTCCTTCAGCTTTGTGAAGACTGCTTCTGTTGCCTTCTTTAACCTCTCTTTCTCCTCTGACGTAATCCACCAAAGAGGGAGAACAGTTCTTCCTCACTCCTGATGTCTCCTGCCATCACACACCTGTTGTCTGCTCTCCCTCCCTCCCTCCCTCTCTCTACCCAAGTGGAGGCAAGACCATACGTCCTAGTGCACACCTACTGTCCTGGTGTAATTGCCAGTACCACTGCCTTTCCCTTTCAAAAGTGCCATATTTTATGATAAGTTATGTGGTCACCCTACTTATTAGAAAAAGGGATAGTGTGGCTCACTTGCTATTTGCCTACTTTCCACTGGGAACCAACTGAATTGAAGAAAGCATCCTTATAGATGTGAAATGACAGAAACATTTTGTGGAACTGTCCTGAGTCAGGTGCCTGGACCCTGTTCTATCTGAACATGGAAGCTCCCTGGTGTCAGGGAGAATACTTCCTCAGGCTGAATGAAGGAATTCTGGTGAGGAGCCCCTCCACCTGACAGGTCCCCAGCTTCTCAGAGTCCAGGGAAGGTCACCCCTGTGAGCATCCTGGTCCTTAAAAACAGATTGAAAATCCGTTAGGAATCCAGAAGATAGAGGCACTTTCTCCAAGACTGAGACTCTAGCTTTTCCCAGTAATCTCTTTTCAGTTCCCAGTGCCTGGAAAGTGTGGGCTTT